AAATCACTTCGGTCAATTTTTTGGTCAGGTCAAAGGTCAGGTCACCAGAGGTCATTGAAGGCGAAATTTCGCCGATTTCCAGGTCGAATGTCGAAAATTTCCAAGAAGCCAACGCATAACTCGGGAACCAATAGAGCTACAGCGCCGCGGAAAAGCGCATTCGATAGCCCTATTAACGCCCTTTCTGAGTAATTCTCTCAGATTTGACCTAACGTCAACGGTTTTGCCTGCAGGGGGCAAAAACTGCAAAAATAGCCGATTTTTTCGAAAACAGTTTTTCTGCAATAACTTTTGACCCAAGCCTTGTACGAGCTTACTTTTACCGGCATCGTGTTCCTCTCGTCAAGACGCATCGAATGAACTATAACTTGACCTTGAAAGGTCAACTTGAAAATTTGACCTCAGGTCAAGGTCATGACCTGACCGGGAAGGGTCATGTTGCATATCAGTCGATCCGTATCGTCGAGCTGAACACATCTAAGGCATTTTCATCGCTCTAGCATGCCTCTATCAAAAGTAATTTGCGAAAAACTGTTAGATACTAATCGTGACCTAAGATGACCTCAGGGCATAAACAAGGGTCACGGACACCATTTTCAAGTTCAGTGTGTCTAAACCACTTGTAATTCGGTGTTTGGGAGTCTTTATAATGTCTTTCATCCAAAAGAGGCGCATTTCAATTTTCTCCCATTGACTTATAATGGGGAGGTCGCAAAATTGACCTGACCTTAGGTCATCGATATCAAAATTCTGAGATATACATTTTGTACATGTTATTGCTCTTAGCAATCGCTGAAAGTTTTAAAGCGATCGGTCACTCGGTGTAGCTATGACAGACATTGAAAGTTTTTATGAGGTGAGGTCACTTCAAGTGACCTGGTGACCTGACCTTGAATGACCTTGGTCTGAAATTTTCACAACATGTGTAGAATTGATGTATGATAAGGTGTACCAAAAACGGCGGCGCTCCGCGCCGCCGTTTTTGAGATATTTGCGAAAAACCACAAGGGGGGTGTTCAAACACCCCCCCCCAGCAGGGCGCGGGTTAAATGCTGTAAGAGTGCCTAAATAAATGTGCAATGAATACCTATTACCTGCCTTGGTAACTGTGCTAGCGTGGCGGCGGCCATTACGAATAACGAAGACTTGACAAAAGTCAACGTTTTACGTTTACGTTTTACGTGGCAGTGACTGATCGATACTGTGGCTCAGGCGGTCAAAGTGAAAACTAAATAAGAAAGAAATGACACTCGTGCTCCGACACCGTAAGAACGGTCCTCATATTCGGTATTGTTTGACTGTGTGGGGCAGCTGTTCGGCTTCACTTAACCCTAGAACGCCTAGGGGGGGGGGGTTGTATCAACCCCCCCCTGAGGTTTTTTCGAAGTGCACGCTAAACGGCTTGTCGTAGCGGGCTGAAATTTTCAATACCCTATGGGGCAACCTTTGCGCATCTTTTGCCGAAAAAAAATTGATCGGGTCATGTCAGGTCACGGAGTTATGACGTCATAAGAGGTACAGCCTCCGGCCGGATTTTCACAAAATGAGTGCCAACGCCCGAGGTTTCCTGCCGGTGGTACGGACATCGGTTGATGGATTGTGATGAAACTTCCCATGCATGTTGGGGCAAGTATTGGCTATCATATGGTATAAGAAATTTGACCGGGTCAGGTCAGGTCACGGAGCTATGACGTCACAAGAGGAACAGCGTCCGGTACTATTTTTGAAAAGCGCCCGAACCACTATTTTGCTAATTCTTGTCACCTCAATGGGAATATGCAGCAATATTAGCTTCTATAGGGAGCAAATGGACCTCCCAAATCCAAAAATACAATCAGATTTCAAAAATTTAAATTTTGATTTTTCGAATTTCTGCCGCCGACTGTGACCTTGCCGACCTCCGGCGCTTCCAACGCGCCATTTTTAGAGCTAGGGAAACGAAATACATACCAAACGATAGAGAATTGATCAAGGAACACGATAGTGAAGGTTTCAAGTCGATATCTCTTACCGTTTTGCCGCAATCGCCGCCGAAAGTTGAAAAAAGTCTATTTTTCCGAAAATTTGACCTTTGACCGGTCAAAAGTAGGTCAAATGTTGACCTAGGACCAAAAAATATACCACCAATCGCGAGATCTCGTTGAGAGCAATCCGTTGGTTTTTTCCGCTAAGCTCTACGACCTTCCGTTTCGAAACGCCAGGGGGGGGGGTCGTAACAACCCCCCCCCTGGTCGTTCGTGTTATGAGAAATGGCCTGGTCGTGCGAGGGTTAAAGCACGAGTTCAAAAAGCTATCAATTTTGGCGTTCGCATCGTTTCGGGACTGTCACGGCGAGACCACGTGACACCGGCGCTTAGAGAGCTGGGATGGCCCACAGTCGATGAGATGGTGCATGAGCGGGACATCGCTGCCATATGTCGCCTTCTTAACCCTGCATGTGGGGCTGAGGCACTGACTGGGCAGCTGATCCACCGAAGCGATGTCTCGGGCCGCCAAACCCGAGCGGTGGCCAACGGCCTGCTCCAGCTACCGAGAGTGAGGACCGAGTTTGCGCGGCGCAGCTTTACGTATCGCGCGATTTCCACATGGAACAATGTGATTTATGGTCGTGTGTTGTGTAGTGTATATACTTTTATTTGTGTTTTTAGTGTTATAGCATTTTGTTTTTATCTCCTTTTATGCATGTTTACAATGGTGTGTTCAAGGTCGTTTACCGGTTGTCATGTATTTTACCGTTTATCTTGTGTGATTGACGTGCATGCCACAAAATCCATGCCAGTGGAGGCATCTAATAAACTATCTATCTATCTATCTATCTATCTATCTTCTCTTTGCATTGGCAGGGAATACGTCCTTGATCACGTGGTGATGTCTTGCACCACTTTCAGGTATTGTGGGAATTAATGCGTGCTAATTCTGAAAAAGGGCCACTGTGCATAGGTGGCAGGACTTGGACGACGACAAAGTATTCGATTTAGTTTCAGATATGGTACAACATGTAATTTTTCAGTAGCACCAAGGCCGTAGCACCAACAAGCTCTGAGTCTGCCGTTTTAGTCCATCAATTGAGTCTAATAGCAAATGAAATGCATTTGATTAACATATGCTTGGACGACAATGAATTTGGCGGTCACGACTCTCCGATGTGTTGTTGCGCGTTGCTTGGAAACGTGACGCACTTTTGTATTATGTGAGTGCATGTGCTCCGTGAAGATTTCTTGTTTTTGTGATTTATTTTTAAGGTGTTGTAGGAATTTTGCCCGATTTCTTGTGAAAATTAATTTACGAAGCAAATGAATAGCTGAGCTTGTGGTCTTTTTCTTAGCATCATGTAACAACAGTGTTTTGATTTGAGCTCAAGCTGAACTGAAACGTCTCAGCCTTAGGTCAAAGTTGAGGTGGGTTAATTGCCTTAATTTTGGTTCATTTCAATTTCATGCTGGAAGCAATTTTCTGAGCATCGTTTTTATAGGTGTGTAATTTGAATGTCATATGATAAAGCTATCAAAATTGTGAAGCAAAAGCTCTTTTACCCTGCTTGTATCAAAGCATCAAGTATAATTTATAATTAGCAAAGAGGTGTTAGCTTAAGAACTGGCAACATTGACTAGCTATGCATATAATCCATTGTTAATTTTAGTGTGTTTTAATGTCCTTATCAGTATTGAAAATTGATTTTATGAGAAATCACACTGGACTTAACATTCCAGGAAAATGGCAGTGATGCATAAGTTTCAGCAAATGGGCACGTTTGCGGGTGTGAATTTGGAAAGAAGACATTCAGGTATGTTGATAACAAATTGCTCATTTTGCTGGTGTGCAAGCCTTTTAGTTTTGTGTAGCAATATTGCATTCCTTTTGTGCATAATGATAATTCATATGGGGCATTTTTTCATGTCCAATATTGATATAAGTAAAAAAAAATCATTTGAATGTTTATGGTAAGTCATTGAATAAATTGAATCTGTCATTGATTGTGTCCCCCAGACTCTGCACCCTCATCTGCCACATCCGAGACTCCCCTACCAGCCGGCATCTGCACCACTCATGCGGCTGCCCTCAATGGGGAAAAGCAGCACCTTCAGAAACTGGTGGCTGGTGAGAACAGACTGCTAGAACAGAGGCCCATGCTGACAAAGCCACAGCTCTGTTGGTCTAACTTATTGTATCCAGGTGTATATGGATGTTTCTGTTTATTTATTTCTACATGGCTCATTTTGGGGAGGGGTGCATTGCTTGATGAAGTTTATAGTGAATAGATGCTTCTACATCAGCAAGTATTTTCTTTTATTTAGTAGGTATGCACTTAGTTACACAAGGAAATACCTAATATACAAACCAGTTCCAAGGACCAAATACTGCTAAAAAAACTCCATGACACATCCTGAGCCTTGCCACCTCTAGTTTAAATGCCTGGTTTACCCTCCCTCATAGGCTCTCTACCCCGATCATGACTCTCTAGTCTAGCTCCACCCCCCCCCCATTCCATAGACTCGCTTCACCTCACTGTGGACCGTTTCGGTCGCTCGGCGCTGGCGTTCGCTGTGATGGGGAACCAGCCCGACTGTGTGGATCTGCTGCTGAAGGCCGGACTCTCTGCCGACGCTGCCGACCACGCAGGGCGGTCGGCACTTCACGGTGCCGCGCATAGGGTTAGTGGGCATACTCTGCTATGCGAGTAGACCCTGTATTGGGGTGTCAGAACTCAGATCAATCATACACAAACCGATAATGCGTGCAAACTTTGCTATATTTGAGCTCAACTAAATGCGGATGTGGTAATTATATGCAATCACAGGAAAAATAAGGAAAATTGGGCGCACTGGCTATTCTAGATTACGACGATGTTGATTGAAGATATGTTGTTGAGTGCTCTTGCGAATGTTGCATGTTGATTGAGTGCCGATCCGATCAAGGCCATATCTAGTCCGATGCAGATAATCTTTTTTTCAACACCGTTACGACATCAAGGATAAAACTGCAATTTAATGAGGTTTCTTGCGACTTTCCTCGCAGGGCTATTACACCTGCCTAAAGCTGCTAGTTCAACGGTCCAGCAATCCTGCGCTACCAGATCAGGACAAGGTGACGCCATGTCATCTGGCAACTCAGCGCGGTAACAACAAGTGTCTGCCGCTGCTGCTCAAACATCTGAGCAGTGAGGCGCTCAACGCCGAGGATTGCAATAAGGTGAATACCTACTATCTACTCAGAAGAAAAAGATGACCGATGGCCCGTAACTGGGCAGTTCAAATTGAACTTACGCCTTTTACCGTGAGGTCGGTCTCAAAGTCCAACCCAAACCCCTGACTGGACTCGGCTAACATTAGGCTAAGGAGACCTGCTTCAATCCACTGCATATTGGTGTTTATCGGCATAATTTGGAATAATTGAAGTATTTCGGTCTGCTCGATGACTCTCTCTCTCTCTCTCTCTCTCTCTCTCCTCTCTCTCTCTCTCTCTCTCTCTCTCTCTCTCTCTCTCTCTCTCTCTCTCTCTCTCTCTTTCTCTCTCTCTCTCTCTCTCTCTCTCTCTCTCTCTCTCTCTCTCTCTCTCTCTCTCTCTCTCTCTCTCTCTCTCTCTCCCGGCTCTCTCCCCAGCGCACCCCTCTACACTGGGCGGCAGCCGCCGGCGCAGCGGACCACGTCAAAGCCCTACTGCGGGCTGGAGCACAGGTTCTATCGGCTGATGTGGAGGGGAAGTCGCCCGTCCACTGGGCAGCGAGTTGTGATGGGCCACAGTCGCCCCAGGCCGTCAAACTACTGCTGGTGAGAAGGGAAGGTAGAGGAGTGGTAAGTGTTGGAAGGGAGATGAATAGCATGGATAGGATGGAATGGAAAGCGAAGATGGGTAGGATGGGGATGCAGGACTCGAAATAGGAGGTAGAAGGATGGAATTGAATAGCAGAGGAAGGGAATAGGAATGAGAGAGGATGGAAGAGATTTGGAACGGGATGGAAAATAAGCTCACATAATTTTCTATGTGTTTTTTTTTTTTACGACGTAGATGGACGTGTTAGCTTGTTTTTATGCGCACACTGTCCCGCTAATTGAGCTCATGATATCAATCTAGGTAAAGTTTACTACCATGCCCCCTGTCCCTGATTCAGATATAGACGCTATTTTGTTCTCTTCTCTAAGGAGGCAGAGCCCAAGGCGACCAACTGGCAGGATTTCGAGGGCCGAACGGCTCTGCATGTGGCTGTGGCTGATGGACACATCAAAACAGTGGCTGTCCTGCTCAACAACTGTGAGTTCCGAATGTCACTCGGACGCGGTAGCTCAACTCAAGAAAGGACGTCACTTCGTGGTGGTATTGAAGTACATATTAGACTTGTACAGATAAGATACGAGCTTGTCAAGGAAAGAGCTGAATTCGTGGTTTGGTTCATCTTTTGGCATTATTGTTAATTCCATCCATTCAATTATTTCATTCATTCGTCTTTTCATTCAATGTTTAATATATTTCGTTCATCCGTCTCTTATTCATTCATTCATTCATTCATTCATTCATAAATTGTTTCATTCAATCATTCACTCATTCATTCATTCATTCGTTCGTTCGTTCGTTCATTCATTCATTCATACATACTCCCTCACTCCCCTTTGTTTCCATCGATCCTGCTCTTTCACTGCCCCTAACATACCCCCCTCTCCCCCCTCCGCAGCGCGGTGCAACATCCACTGTTTGGATCACCAGTTCCGCTCCGCTCTACACTGGGCTGCCCTGCTTGGCCTCACGGAGACCGTGGAACTTCTGGTGGGGCGGGGTGCCCGCGTGGCGGCCACTGACGCCAACGGCGCGTCGCCGCTGCACTATGCGGCGCAGATGGATCATAAGGTGGGAAAGAGAGGGATAGAGGAGGACAGATTAAGGAGAGAGTGACGCTATGCTATTAGCTCTGTGTGATAATTGTAATTTGTATTGTATTGGTTCCTTAGCTCTTAGCTCTATGTGTGAACAGTTCACTGGCCTGGCAGACCATGAACTTTTGTTGTACCCAAGCATAGATAACATGAATCATGTTATCTAATATCTATGACCTAAGGCATGTAGAAAGTTCATATTTTATGCATTAGGTTTTTATACACAAAGCCTAATAGTCATAATTGCCGAGCCATAGTCAGTTTGATAGTCCTAATCTTGCAACTGACTTTTATATGGTTGGTGCTACATGAATGATTCAAAATGAAACAAATCTTATCGGTGCAGTTTATGAATTTGCACGCCTGACTGAGTTCACATCTACCGTCTGTCTACCTCTCCAGGAAGTGGTGGCCGTTCTGCTGCGCAAGATTCGCGCCCACGAGGTTCGCGACCTCTCCGGTATGAGCGCCTTGTCCTGGGCGGCGGGCAGTGGCGCGCTCGGCGCCATTGAGACAATGGTGGCGCGCGGAGGCGTGCTGCATCTCACGGATAAACGAGGCGAAACTGGTAAGGGTTTGGGCGAGAAACGCTGTGGGGTAGGGTTGGTGGGGGAGGTTTAACAACAGTCAAATATTATAACCTCTGGATAAGACCGTAACTGTGCTAAAGTGACCCCTGCGTATCTTTGCTATGTATCTTTGCTATATCTTTGCTATAGATACTTTTTTATTTCATTTCGGCGTATGGTGACCTCTAATGATCTTTTCTGACCTTCACCCGCATTAGCTGACCTATGGTTGGACTCTGCTGACATCTGCTAACATCTCTTTACCTCTGCTCACCTCCACTTATAAAATTTAGCCTCTGCTACTTTCTACTGGCTTCAGTTTATGTACCTCTTCTCATAATTATCTCTGTTGACATTTTCTCAAGTTCACCCACCCACTTTGTCTGTGAGCTCTACCGACTTTTACTGACCTCACTCCGCTCATTTACCGCCAGCTCTGTTCACGGCGTGCACGTGCGGCCAGACGGCGGCTGCCGGCCGTCTTCTGGAGCTGGGAGCCGACCCCAATACTGCCAGCAGATCGGGGACCACTCCGCTGTTCGGGGCCTGCGCCAACGGTCACGGAGATATTGTGAAGGTGGGGAGGGGAGGGCGGGTGGATGGTGGGTGGATGTTAATGTTTCGCTCTCGAAGCTATCACTTGTAGCACAGGTCTCTTTATGCCCGGTGTAGAGGTCTGACACCGAGCTCGGAGAGGTATCAGATGTATATCAGCAAATATCATCAGATATAATATGTCAGTGCCCAATGATCAGAGATACTACCTATCTTGTTTTACAAGGACAGATCCCTATTCACTTATGTGGCATCAAACGTCTTAAAGGTGTCTTGAATGCAAACTGCCGCTATGGCGCTATGACTTACATTATGTAGGTATTGCATCTGCATAATTGCATGATGATAATCCCTGATGATGATACTCACAATGAAAACTCTGCAAAATACGTGACGATAGCATTGAAAGTTAGGATCTCGAACAACGGTTTGTGAGCAATGAGCACTAGAACGCAGGCTGCATCGGTCCCTTGCGCCCAAGATACCAACTTGTAGTGTCAACTGCTCACACCAGGTGTCTCTGCCTTTCAGCTGCTGCTTGCCCATAAAGCCGATGTAAACGCGGCTGATGAAGAAGGGAAGAGGCCGATTCACGCGGCGGCGAGGTTTGGACATTCCTACGTCGTGCATATACTGGTGAGTAGTGAGGCAGGGGTGTGGACAGGACGGGAAGTTATCAAATAATGGCGGGGATGTGGACAGAATTCAGTTACGGTAACGTTCTGACTTCGAACCAAATGCTTAGGTAGGGATATGATTGGTCAGGGTTTGGAACGGGAACGTTCTAACCAAATGCTAGGTGAGAAGGTATGTGTGTTCTGACTGCTAAAATACAAAACCACTGGCATATAGAAATTTGATAGCCAATGGTCGTTATTGTGGGCCTGTGGCTAATGATTTTATGAGCGTATAAAATGTGAGTGCTGACTGCACTAGATGCCTGACTGCGTTTTTGTGACGTGCTTTTCATTCTTGTGAGAGTCGTCGGTGTTGTCGGTTTTTCCAACATTCGTTCCTAATAAATTGCAGTGAGTTCATGTCACCGTCCTTCTTACCTTCTCTTCTCACTGCAACCCCCTGACCCCCGTGACCCCTTTCCCCTCAGCTGGACGGCGGCGCCGCCGTGGACCCAGTAGACCGGTACGGTCGCACGCCCCTCATGCACGCCGCCTACGCCGGCTACGGCGACGTGCTCACCCTGCTGGCCGGCTACGGCGCGGCCACGGGCCGTAGGGACGTAGACGGGCGGTCTGTGCTTCACTGGGCGGCCGGCAGAGGGCAGCTGGATAGTGTCAGGGTACTGCTGGAGCAGGGAGCCGAGCCGAATCATGTGGCGCGACTGAGCTACCTGTGAGTGGGGGGGGGGGGGGGGGGGGTAGAGGGGAAGGAGGGAGGGATAAGGTTTAATCAGATGAATAAAACTACTATGGACGTCAAACCCCTTGAGACCCCACTTTTTTGCGATAATTTTTAAATGCGTCAACTCTCGTTGACAATATTCTGGCAATGTGCGTTTCAGAACCTGCCGAAACTTTTATTACTAAGGTATTTTGACGCCAAACGATTATGAACGGTACTTCTCATTCACTCGTAATGCTAAGGTCAATTCAGGCCCGGGCAGAGGCTTGCGCTCGGCCACACTCGAGCCCCGCCACCAGCGCCATCTGCTCTTAATATCATCTACCAGCGCCCGCTACCGCTACCAGCTACCGCCCACCATCAAGCCTGAATGGAGCGAGAGACGCGAGTGACCGGTCGCCGGGCAAGGAGCGCCGGAGGGGTAGGGCGGAGCTTAGCGCTGGCGTCATTACGTGGCTCCGCCCCATGAGCGCGTAGCCTCTACCCAAACAGCAGATTCGTTCCGTGAAATTTAACATTACGAGTGAATGAGAAGTACCTTTCATAATCGTTTGGCGTCAAAATACCTTAGTAATAAAAGTTTCGGCAGGTTCTGAAACGCACATTGCCAGAATATTGTCAACGAGAAGTGACGCATTTAAAAATTATCGCAAAAAAGTGGGGTCTCAAGGGGTTTGACGTCCATAGTAGTTACTACAGTCTGTTCCATATCAAGCTTGCAGTCGGAGTTTCTTCGGCAGATCCAAGGGCGGATCCAAGGCCGTATATGGCAGATCGCTCCTCCGCTCAAGCACGCTCAAGAATTTTCGCTTAAAATGTATGAGCTGTTTATACAGAAATCACGCACTGCTTTCAGCAGGACACTTCGGCCGCAAGCTTGAAACGGAACAGAGTATAGATCCCGATAATCCGTAGGACGTCGTAACCGAGCATTGTTAATTTTAATATCCTCAAGTTATGAAGCATATTATCCTCCAATATGTGCATTCGTTGCACAGTTAACTAAAAACATTGCTTTCTCACTTTCTGTCACTGTATAGTTTTGCCCAGCCGTATATTAGTGCCGTATCCGTATATTTGTCGCCCAAAAGCAGGCACGCTTATTTGTGCCCAGGACAGGAAATTCGTATTTTCAGAATTATTTACCTGCACATGGTGCATGCCATTATTCCTTTCCATCAGTGGATTTCTGTGAACCTTTGACTGTCCGGTTTCAGTATGACCCCTCTGGACTGCGCCGTGGTCGGAGGACACCACGAGGTGGCCAGCGTCCTTACCGAGTACGGAGGCGTTTCCATAGCAACCATCGAGGACGTCGCCTCGACGAAAATTCAGGTGCGTGTGGGGAAGGGTGGAGTTTCGGTACGCACTCAGCATAAAGCTCATTCGACGAACATTTTTCATTACTTAAGTGTTCAAGGTGACAAACTGTTGACAGTGTGTTTTCCTGTAAATAAAAAGCTACGAATCTGGTACCAATGACAGCCAGTAGCGGCGGAACACCTTCAATTAAGGACGGGCACTGCCGACTTTTGGTCCCATTCTTTCCATACAACGCCCATAGGGCTAATGTTTAAATGCCAAAATCAAAGGGGGCACGGTGCCCCGGTACCCTCCCCGTTCCGCCGCCTATGATGACAGCCTTAAAATAGCTGATGTATGTTTTGCGACACAGGCAGCGTGGCGAGGTCATACAATCAGACACCAGTTTCTGGAGAAGCGCGCTAAACTGCTGCCGCCTCGTGACGGTGAACGCAACAAGCAGTCGCCGACTCACGCCGCCAGGGGCAGTCGTGGCGCTACCGTCGCCGATCGCCGCCAATCGCAGGCACCCAAACCTCCCGCGGCAAAACCGACCGCTTCCAAACCGAATGAAATGAAGAAGGTTTGTGTCTGCTTTACCCTTTTCACGTCAGTGTACGTCTAAGCGATATAAGTGCAACACTTAAGAGGTAGAATCACCCATAAATTCAAGTGTCAAATGCGTTTCAACCAAATATTTCTATTGTTCTTGACCAATTTGTATATGGCCACTCGTTTCGTTACGTTTTTTCGTGAACGTGTGTGCTTTTTCCAGCCAGCGCCTCCGGCGGCCGATTCGGCCATTGACGAGATCGTGTGCAGTTTCCTGGAGCACGTGGTGGGTGGTGGCGGTCGGCCGAAGCGTCACCTACAACTCTCGGCCCGCCAGCAGGCCTGCGCCGCCTGGGAGTACGCCGACCAACGCCTCAAACTGTCGGCGCCAGATGGGGACACCGGCATGGTGACCTTGGGCCCAGATGGCGCTGTCGTCGCTAGGGGAAAAACTATAGGTGGCGCTGCGATCGGCAAACATGGCCGAAAAGCCCGACAAGGACCACCGGCAGTGAAGCAAAGGAAGAAATCTGAGCGGCACTTGGAGATTCCCGATCTGACGGGAGAGTCCACGGATGAAGAAGAAGGAAGGCCACAGGAGACTGCGGCCAGGACCATTCAGAGGGCCTGGAGAGGGTGAGTCTGCTGGTGGTAAGGGGAGGTCATAGGGTGAGTCCATTCATAGGAAGGGGAGGTCACAGGATGAGTTCACTGACCTGAAATGGGGGGGGGGGGGGTCATAGGGCCAGTCCATTGTGACTTGTTAAAATCTCCAGAATCGGTTGATGTGAGAATGGATGGACCTGCCACCTGCCAATGTGAGTGTATGGGAAAACCGAAGGAGCTAAGCCGGGGGAAAGTCGTATGTTTTGATATTCGTTTAGATTCTGAATTCTTCCGTTGTTGCTATCTGGCGAAACTTCCCGGCTCTGCATAGGGGATGCTCGTTACTTGAAGTATAAGCTTTTTGTTTTTTTCTATCTGAATGTGGGTACCGTTTGAAAGCTTGTTAACGTTGTGAGTTGTCGACCACCATCATTCCATTGTTCTTGATTTGTCTAACGGCGATCGTGCATTTTTACAGGCACACTACCGGTAAGAAGAAGGGAAAGGCGCCCCCACCACCCACCGGAGAGGCCTCAAATATGGCTAAGAAGAAATCAGCTGCGCCCCTGCCACCTACAGGAAACCAATCCAAAGACTCGGAGAGCGGAATGAACTCGCCCAAAACGGGGAAGGCGCGACTGGCGGTACCCCCGGCTCTAGGAATGGACTCGTCCAAACTGGGACATAACATGGTAGCGCCAACCGATCATCCTGGGAAGAGGTCCGCCCTGTAGGTGAGGATCCTGAGAGAAGGTCCGCCCTGTAGGTGAGGATCCTGGCAGAAGGTCCGCCCTGTAGGTGAGGATCCAGGGAGAAGGTCCGCCATGTAGGTGAGGATCCTGGGAGAAGGTCCGCCCTGTAGGTGAGGATCCTGGGAGAAGGTCCGCCATGTAGGTGAGGATCCTGGGAGAAGGTCCGCCATGTAGGTGAGGGTCCTGGTCCTGGGAGAAGGGCCGCCATTTGTCCAGCTTAGAGAAGTCTACATTTCGAGAATGCCAGGCTACTGGATTTTTTTTTCTTGGCACTGCTAGCTGAAGTTGTTGAAAGGATCCCATTTATTGGCGTATCAGATGAGTTCTGTCCTTTGCCAGGTAACTGCATTTAATTTATATAGTGGATAAAGATTCATATGATATCGTAGATGTTTATTTTTACATTGATTTTTATAATTATCATGTTTTTCATGCTATCATTATAACATCCGCAACATTGAGGTACTGAGTGTGAGAAACTCCTCACCATTATGACTGACAGTCTGTGATTTAAACAGTATTATTACCAAAGGAGATAGCAAGACCGTCCAATGCACCGTACAACTGAGGTAGCTAGACACATTTCTGGTAAGCTATGGTAGCAATATTCAGGATTCAATGAGCTTCAATGACCTTGAGTGAATACTGAATATTACTCACTTGCAAGACTTTTCGCATAGTACGGTACCTAAATGTTCGAAATCAGATAACCATTACATTCAGCGCCAACTTCCTGCCTAGATTGCCGTAGTCATTCAATGTTACGAGGCTATGCTCCTGGCAGTCGCAGTGTTTGCTGCTGATAGAAAAGCTCAGCTTTGCATACTGAAACCTACCTAAGCAATTACTTTTTTGTAACACGGTGCTGTGATTTTACGCACATTGCCCTTGTACTCCGCAGACCCCATAAATGCAAAAAATAGTGTTCTGTATTATTTGAAAACGCTTGCCAGCCATAGAAGATACACGACCTGTGCAATAGACGCTTGTGTTATTTGGCCCATATTTAGAGGTGTGCCTTTCATGTCCGACTTCTTCAGAAGAGGCGGGTTGCGTTGCGTGCCTTTCACCGTGTGCTGTGACAATCTGAAGATCTCAACGGCATTTTATGGCCATAATATCTCATATATTTTGAAATGGATTGTGTAGTGACTAGTGAGCGTAGCTAACACTCACGGTAAACATGATACAAATATGTGATCTCCTGGTTAGTTGCGTGCTGCGTGCAAACTGTCATGAAATACATACCTAATTATTCTGCACTGTGCATCTTCCTTATCGTGTCAATAATTTTGGCCCTGGTGGCGCAGTTGGTTAAGGCGTCGGCCCGCGGTGCGGGTGGCTCTGGGTTCGATTCCCGGTGTCGCCCGTCCCGCGGGCGTCGTCCTCAGCTGTGTCACCAGGAGTGGGGTGGGCTCCCACGTTAGCCGTAGCATATGGGAAGGGGTAAGGAAGGAAGAGGAGGAGCAGGAGCCTTCCTGTAATTGGGCGCATCAGCCTGTTGGAAGGATGACGAAATAAATAGAAATAGAAATAGAAATTTGCATAGCACCATAATTTCCTTTAGATCATGATCCAATGTTTACCAAGCCTGGTTGGCTTCAATCAGGAGATACCATTGTTCTCAAAACAAGCTAATAGTGCCATTTTTATCCGCCCATGCGATCCGCAGGAGAAACCTATCCGAGTCCCCCTCACGCTTCCCTTTTTGGGTTTCGGTCACCCCCACCAAACAACCGGTGGCCGTGGTGAGGGCAAATGCATTGACATCAAAAGCCTCCCACATAAGGCGTGGCGATTACGGCTTATCCCCGCGCCCCACTGGGGGGGGGGGCTATTTATAGCCCCCCCTCCCGTTTTTCTACAATAACTTCCAAACCGCTTGACGAATCGACGCCAATCTTTCAGTACCTTCGGCTGCATCAATTTGACACCTTGTGTCAAAATTTGAACTTCGTAGCTACCATAGGTCGGCCGGAAATGACGTCAGAGTGACGTCATGTTCGTCCGATTTCGACGCAAAACATTGAACCACGGCAATCGCTCCCGAGAGCTCAGTTTTTAAGCTAGATCCAATTTCTTTGCATGAAAGGACTCAGAATTGACCGCGCTATCAAATTGCTATCTCGGATTTTCAAAATTTTGAGAATTCCGAAAATTTTATACAATAATATTCAAAATTTAATTTTTTATATTTTTTTTTCAAAAAGTTTTTGACTTTTCGAAAAAACCGGAATATATGTGACAGAACGCATGATTATGACTAACTCTAGCAAGTTTTAGCTAAATATCTTCAAAAATGGCCAAGTTATACGCATTATTGCAAAAAATTCACAATTATTAATTTTTCAAATCAATTTTTCAGCACGTATTTGGCATCGTACACCAATATAAATGGCACCATCGTGTTCCTGAGCTAAAACTGCATCCAATAGACACATTTTTTGTTGAAAAATTTCAACTTCAAAATTTGACCTTTTTTGACCTGAAAGTGACCTGACCTAAGCTAATTTCGACTCAAAATGACCTTGAATGACACACACGACATCAAATTCGAAATCTATGGCCTAAATGGACCATAAAACATGTGTCACGTGACCGACGCATGATATAATATTTTCGTGACCTGTGATGACCTGACCCTGACCTGAAAATCAAAGTACAAGTTTGGTACCCTCAAGGTATCTAGAGCATCTGTTCACGAGTGTGGAAACCAAAAATGAGCCTGATCTGACTTGTAAGACGGCGGCCAGAGCCCAAAATGTGAACAAGCCAAAGTGCTAATAATTTTTACTTTGACCTGACCTGTGACGTCATCGGTGACCTCGAGGTCAATGAAATTAGGTTTCGCTCGACAGTTTTTCCGGGGCTATCAGACGCCGTTTGAATTTTGACGATCAGCCCAGTAGTTTCGGAGTTAGGAGGGGGGGCTATGAATAGCCCCCCCCCCAGTAGGGCGTGTTATACACAGACCCCAGTGGGGCGCGGGTTAATTGATCTCTCTGGGCTGACCGTTTGACCGACAGGACGGGCAATCCAAACGGAAAACTTTCGTCCGATGGGGACGACCTCTGACGCTGTGACGCACAGTCCAATGTTAACACAGTTATTCTACCAACTCAAAGCACAGCTGCAATGGCCTTTTTCAGGCTGACAGCTCGTCCCCAACAAAACAAGCATGTATCGTGTCCCTGTCGAATTGGTATTAAACACAGCTTGTGAGCGAGTTGATTTATTGCAAATCGCCACCAAGACACTTGAGCAAAGGACAAGTTTCCTTAAGTCGGCAAAGCATAGTTATATGAACATCAGTTAAGAATATCTCTTCAGATAAGACATTGTTACGTGTTGACCATAGCAATGACAAAAACCTGTCGCAGAAATAGAGACGGAAACATTCCGAAAACGCAAATGGGGCATTCCACGATAGATCGTACCAGGCCCGTCACCCTCATCTCTCAGATTTTAATGAAAATCGGTCCTAGGGGTAATCATAGGCCCCAAAGACGCCTGGCAAAATATCAGACTTCTCAGATCAAAACTTTTTGAGTTATATTGCATTACATTTTTTTAACTTCGGTATGTAACGGTGAGTTTGATGGCCTATAACTCAAGAACGGGTTAAGCAACCAACAAAAAGTAAACAACACTAAGCTTGCGATGAATCCAAAATTAATATTACTTACTATTTAAAGATTCCAAAGAAAAAATTTCATTGTTGAGCAAAAACCTTAATCTTTTTTCATTTGTCTCTAATGACTTTTGGGACCAAAATTTTTCACATTTTTATTTTTTCAAAATAATATTCATGTCATTGCAAATAGACATGCAAAAAATTAGAAAGGTGTTCTTTCTATAAGTTCCTCATTTTCCCGCAAACAAAATGGGTTTCGGAGGGGTTGATACGACCCCAGCACGCCGTTTCGCTTCTAATAGAGCTAGAGCCTCGCGGAAAAAACGAGCGTGTGTGCCGTTACAAGTCGCAGCGATTGGTACCCGATTTTAAGGTCTCAGGTTAACCGGTAGCGTCTGAGGTCAGGTCACGTGACTGAAGTTACGGGTTCGTTTTTTAGTAAATAACTTCGCAAAAAATGGCCGCAGAGCCGCGATTTTGGCATCATTGTGTTCGCCTAGCTCAGGTGCATCGAATGGTATACTTTTTGCTAGGGTGAGGTCAACTTAAGTAGTTGACCTCGGGTCAAGGTCAGGTCAGAGCCCCTCAGGTCACGAAGCTGGGCAAAGGGTATCATATGGCATATCATTCGATTCGGAAGGTCTTCCCGAGTCCATTGGTGGCTTTCCCGACTCTTTAGCTCCATTTGATCGGGAGTTATTGACGAAAAACTCGTACGACCCTAGTGACGTCGTAAATGACGTCACGCTGTAGGGATCATCTATGCGATTTGTCATTTCATGTTGTCATTTTCATTTATATTGTCACCGCTTTATTAATCAATCTGTTACCTGTTGTCAATTGCGCGTCAAGTTTGTTTGTTATTTGTAAACCGGCCTGCCGCTGGCCTCAACCTTCCTAGTAACCGCTGTGCCATACGCTATAGAACGTGTCGTGCAAAGGTCACGGCGGCACCCCTGAGGCGGCCGCTGCCCGTACGTTTAGGAGCCCATTGTCGTGACGTCATGACTGTGAACAAAGGTCGCGGTAGGGGCTCTCCCGGCAGCCGGACGGTGACTCATACGTTGAGCTTGTTTCTCGCCGCGCCTGCGGGCATATTGGTAGTACTAGGGACGGCCAGCATATGACCGCGGCTTTCGGCGACATTGTCAATTCGTTTCTCGACTCTGCTGTTCGCTACAAGACAAATACACATAGAAAACGGCTCGGGCATTTGGAGAAGAGCGGCTACTCTGAGGCGAGGGAAGAACACGGAGATTCACACAAACGACCTGACTAGGTTGCACCGGCCACAGTCGACCGAGGTGGGCTTCTGCGCCCTTAAAGACGCCTCTGACTGGCCATTGCGCTGACACCCTGGTCGGACCACGGTCATTGATCGGACCCTGCCACTGGTTCGTGCTCAGGCTGCCTTAGCGGGTAGACCTGCTCGACCAGACGCCCACTGGTGGGCGAGTGCTCGGTTCCGACTTTCACCGCCGGTCCAACAGCGTTCTGCTGGTTCCCGCCGATCCGGTTACGACACCGCAAGTGCCGTACCGACTCGGGCGTCCCAGGTGGGCGTAACGATTACCACACCAGTTCGCGACCCCCAGGCTCTGTCAGCCGTCGTACGGCTCTCGGACGGACACTCTAATAGATCAGCCACAGATCAATAGATTGTCACGGACCGTCCGTCCAGCCACGCGCTACCCACAGCGCAGTACGACAATTTGGTGACCCCGACGTGATCTCCGTTGTTCGACCTTAGCCTCTCGTCATGCCCGCGGACAGCGCACAGTCCGGCGCCGCAGCTCAAGACCCAGCCAGCGTTCCAGCTTCAGCCTCCGAGTCAACTCATCGGCCCATGGCTAGCTTCCGGCTACCACCATACTCTCCGGAGGAGCCCGACCTGTGGCTACTGCAGGTGCAGTGCGCTTTCGACGTCAGCGGGGTCGACTCCGACGAGCTGAGGTTTAAGCTCCTCGTCGCAAACCTCCCCGCCAACATCGCCGTCCAGGTCAAGGACGTCATTCGGTCATCCCGGTCTTTTGACGTGCTGTGTGCAGCGCTCCAAGCCCGCCTGGCACAGTCACGCGCCGACCGACTACAAGCCCTGCTCGGCCGCCAACAGCTCGGCGATCAGAAGCCGACGGCGCTGTTGCGCTCAATGCGCAACGAGCTAGCCGCAGCCGGGGACGCCCCGGTTGATACGGAGCTCTTCCGTACCCTATTTCAACAACGGCTACCGCAGCCCGTCCGTGCTGCCCTCGCCCTCCTGCCAGCCGACAGCACGCTTGACGCACTGGCAGAAACGGCCGACCGGTACCTGGAAGCTAGCGGACCCGACCCACGGCTATCAGCGATCGCGGCACAGCCGTACACACAGCCGGCACCGCCCATCGCTGCTGCAGTGACAGCCCCGGCGCCAGCTGCAACCCCTGCGCTGGACACCGTCATCGCCTCCCTGGTCGCTAAGATGGAGCGCTTGGAGGCCAGCAACCGACGACTCGAGGACGCCGTGCGACACGACCGCAGCCGTTCCCGGCCGCGCCAGGCGTCTCGCCAGTCACGCCGCCCGTCACCGGCTCGTCCTTCAACGCCGCCGCACGACGACACGCTGTGTTGGTACCACCAGCGATTCGGCGCCCAAGCGCGCCGATGCAAGTTGCCGTGCTCCTGGATCGCCTCGGAAAACTGAGGCGTCCCGTGCTGATGGCGCAAAGCACGGGCGCCCCTCATGCCGCGCCACTCCTCTTCGTGAGGGACACGGAGACGGACCGGCAATTTCTAGTCGACACCGGGGCGCAGGTCAGCGTGCTGCCTCGCCGCTGCCTGCCCAACGGGTCTACGCTGACCCCTGCTCCTGTCGGCCAGCAGCTCGTCGCGGCAAACGGCTCACCGATCGCGGTGCACGGCACCTGCCTGCTGGACGTCATCTTGAGTCAGCAGCACCGCCTGAAACATCGATTCTTCGTCACTGACGTCACCACACCCATCTTGGGCACCGACTTCCTGGCCGCACATCACCTCGTCGTGGACGTTGCCAACCAGCGTCTCCTGCGGGACGGCACCGTCTGCGCCAGCGCCGAGCGGTCAAGGCTGTGCTCCATCGGAGTGCGTCTCGTCCGGGAGCAGGCTGCTGCTCGCTTCGCAGCTGTCCTCGCCCGGTACCCGGATGTGACCTCACCAAAACCTGGACCAACACCGGTGAAGCACAACGTGACGCACCACATCGTCACCAAGGGTCCACCGGTGTACCAGCGGCCACGACGCCTCCCGCTGGAGCGCCTTCAAATCGCACGTGCCGAGTTCAACAAGATGCTCCAGCAAGGCACCATTCGACCGTCCAGCAGCAACAGCAGCAGCAGCAGCAGCAGCAGCAGCAGCAGCAACAGCAGCAGCAACAGCAGCAGCAACAGCAGCAGCAGAGGCAACAGCAGCAATACCGGCAACACCACACTGCGGCTTCCTGGTGAGTTCTTCATCAGCAGCCAAGCCTCAGCAGCATCACCGGCCGGTTTCGTACAGGACCTGAAGCGCGCCATGTCTCAGGTGCGGCTGACACTCCCACGTCCGGCCCAGCGCGCCACGTACGTCCCGACGGCACTCCAGACGGCGACACACGTCTTCGTGCGCAGGGACTGTCACCGCTACCCGCTGGACGCTCCATACGACGGACCGTTCCCGGTTACCGAAAGGACCACCAAGACCATCACCATCGACCGTCGACAGAAAAAGGAGGTCATCAGCATCGACCGGTGTAAGGCCGCCTTCCTGGAGACGCCAGACGAATCCGGTCATCGACAGTCTGACCTGCCGACTGTGCAGCCGCACGGTACTCAGTCCAGCGGCCCGCCGGCCGCGCCACCGCTCAGCAATGAGCCCAGCGGCCCCGAGCTTCTGATCTACGGTGACGCACCAACTCGCCCTGCAGCCGTCGCTCGGGCTGACGCTGCACCATTGCAGCCTCAGCCGATACTACGGACGACCCGCTCCGGCCGCGTCATACGACCTCCGGTAAGATATCGCCATGTCACTTTTGTCCGCGACATGTCTGGCGAGGGGGTACTGTAGGGATCATCTATGCGATTTGTCATTTCATGTTGTCATTTTCATTTATATTGTCACCGCTTTATTAAAGGGACCCTCCCACCTTCAAAAAAGTTAATGAATTGGCATGAAAGTGATGTCGTTCGGTTCAGAAAGAGCAAAAACGAATATCTACCAAATTTCATCGAAAAATATTCACCGGTTTTCAAGATATTAGACTTTTACTTTTGTTTACTTTTTGGGATCTCCGCTGTTCCTAGCGACTTTATTTGAAAGTGCGGCATTTTTTGCGCGCAAAGCAGCATATACCACCGCGTGCTACAAAACGTTTTAGTCAAACATTTAACGGACGTTCGAAAGCCTGATGACGTCATCAGACTCCCGTAATGGTTAAGAGATAGGGACCACGCTGGTCCCACCCTGCAAGTAAAGGGAAGAAATTTCTTGAACACCATAAAGCTGCGGGGGTTGCGACCAGGATAAATGGTGGTTTCTGAGCCTGGCCGCAAACTTGGCTATCTCAACTCAAAACTAATGTTAAGGTGGGAGGGTCCCTTTAATCAATCTGTTAGCCGCTGGCCTCAACCTTCCTAGTAACCGCTGTGCCATACGCTATAGAACGTGTCGTGCAAAGGTCACGGCGGCACCCCTGAGGCGGCCGCTGCCCGTACGTTTAGGAGCCCATTGTCGTGACGTCATGACTGTGAACAAAGGTCGCGGTAGGGGCTCTTCCGGCAGCCGGACGGTGACTCATACGTTGAGCTTGTTTCTCGCCGCGCCTGCGGGCATATTGGTAGTACTAGGGACGGCCAGCATATGACCGCGGCTTTCGGCGACATTGTCAATTCGTTTCTCGACTCTGCTGTTCGCTACAAGACAAATACACATAGAAAACGGCTCGGGCATTTGGAGAAGAGCGGCTACTCTGAGGCGAGGGAAGAACACGGAGATTCACACAAACGACCTGACTAGGTTGCACCGGCCACAGTCGACCGAGGTGGGCTTCTGCGCCCTTAAAGACGCCTCTGACTGGCCATTGCGCTGACACCCTGGTCGGACCACGGTCATTGATCGGACCCTGCCACTGGTTCGTGCTCAGGCTGCCTTAGCGGGTAGACCTGCTCGACCAGACGCCCCACTGGTGGGCGAGTGCTCGGTTCCGACTTTCACCGCCGGTCCAACAGCGTTCTGCTGGTTCCCGCCGATCCGGTTACGACACCGCAAGTGCCGTACCGACTCGGGCGTCCCAGGTGGGCGTAACGGTTACCACACCAGTTCGCGACCCCCAGGCTCTGTCAGCCGTCGTACGGCTCTCGGACGGACACTCTAATAGATCAGCCACAGATCAATAGATTGTCACGGACCGTCCGTCCAGCCACGCGCTACCCACAGCGCAGTACGACAACGCAAGGTTAACAATGCAAAAGTAAAGCATTGGACTTTGCAAGAAGTGCATGAAATCACGATACCATGTACGTGGGATAGTTTTAGATCATTCTCGGCGCCAAAATAACAGTTTTTATATTTCCCCATTGATTTATAACAGTGATGTCACGTGACCGACCTGACCTCATGTAACCTTGAAAAATTCCCAGATATACAAGTTGTGAGACCTCTGGAGGACACCATGTATGCGTCCTGTAACTTTCATCTTGGACAGCTATGGTCATTGGCGTCCAAAACAATGTCAGAACCAAACAGCCTTTTTCACCCTCGCGCTTATAGGAAAGAGGGTTGAATGAACCCTCTTGTCACTTTTTTCAGATGACTCAGACTTGAATTGAAATTTCAGTAACCCGTGATGTCACTAGGCAGCTTTACCACGCCATTTGTAAGCTCCCCTCCCGAAATCACTATTCGAAACCGTTATCGTGACGTAAAATAAATACATTTATAGAAAGAACACCTTCCTAATTTTTTGCATACTTCTTAACAATGAGCCAAATATTCTTTTAAAGAAATAAAAATTCAAAAAAATTTGGTCCCAAAGTCCAAAAAAAAACAATGAAAGAAAACTCGATGTGTCATATATCAAAAATAGCGTATTTTTCGAAATTTCAAAAATACATATTAATCTCTGTTTCATTGCAAGTTCAATGCTATATAACATTTGGCATTTGAGTAATCCGTCTTAGAGTTACAGCCCGCCAAACTTAGCGCTGCAAAGCAAGATCCAAAAAATGTTATACACCATAACTCAAAAAATACTTATCTGATAAGCCTGAAATTGTTACAGGTGGATTCAGAGCCCCTGATTACCCCTGAGACCAATTCTCGTCAAATTCCGAGAGATGAGGGTGTCAAATTGGAAAAAGGTGGTACGATCTATCGTGGAATGCCCCAAATACCAAACCAGAGGACAAAATACCAAACATTTTCATTGAAAGATACTTATAAGACTTTCACTACCAATTTAAACATTAGCTGGCGTGTATGTAGTTTACGGGTGAGGTGCGTGCGCCACGCGAAAAAGTGCATCTAAATCTACTTTCTTTGTGATCACGGACACTGCAATGATGAGACACACGCCTGCTACAAATGTAAAAATACCAGCTGGCTGTCCTATATACAACACAATTGACAGCAAAGCACCTACAAACGCACGCATCTACCATGATGCTATCAAATCACTGCGAATGATATCGGCTCTGGACGGACATGATCGTTACCGATCGATACATGAGAAAAGATCGCTCGCCATGCGTACACAGTTGATAGAATAATAGTGCGAAGGTAAAGTCTGGTATAGCCATACCTGCAAGATATGCACATAAATGGATGGATTGGTTTACCTTGGAATTCGTTATTTTGGAATGTCGAAGCATGCTGTCGATGATTACATTCACACTAGCTGCAGCATGTTCCTTACAAAAATAGACAATCGAGTGCCTAAAAGCACGCGCAGATCGTTCCGCCGATGAAGGCGTTTTAACAATGTTCAGAGATTCGTTACATTCAACTTCAGTTCATGAAACATCACATTGACCTCTCCTCTCCACAAACACTTCGCTTTCTTGACCATGGACGGCATCAAGACAACGGCACATGCATCATCAGACTTCCGGTTGTTTCATTCAAACGTTGTGGATATCCGAGATACAACTATCGAGATTCATCTAACGACAAGTTCTGGATGACTGGTCCTTTTGGATACAACTACTCCCAGACCCATAGCCAAGCAGACTTCTCTAACAAACTGCGCTCATATCGCACCTCTGGGTCTCCTTTGGCAGTCGCTAAAACACTCCCCATTCATTCTACAAACCTCAGACAATTCCTGGGAATCCTCAGACATCTACCAGACTTTTTCCATTCCCATTAGGACTCTTCAGATCAATATCCCTCACACGGCCGCATACAGTCCCAAAGCCTGTCCAGCCAGCAGCAGCAGAAGACAGACGGCCGTCGCGCCTGGCGCCGAGTTACAGTTGTCCTTTGAGCAGTAGCACTCCTCGATGTATTCACCGTTCAGTTGCACCTGAGGCAGAAGGAGGAGTCAGATTAGTGCTTGATGCTTTGCTTCATGACAGTAGTAATTGCTAAACCTTATTTATAATTATGTTGGATTTGCTCCTGAGCCAAAGGGAAAAGTATAAAGATCAGGAGAAGAAAGTGCTGAGATTTGCAGGATATTGAGTGAGCTAGGTGATCTTACATAAATCGTGTTGGATTGTCCTTGAGCCAAAAAGAAAAGTAAAAAGACCAGCGAGAAGGAGTGCTGAAATTTGCAAGAAATTGAGTGAGCTAGATGAACTGACATACCTTCCAGTTGCAGGCATCATTCACACCGGCCTTGGTCACAGCAGCACACCGCCTGATGACCTGTCTCCAGCGACCATCCCCTGGGGGTGCACAGAGGTCAGAGGTCAGGACATCTTGAAGCAAATGCATTGCAACAACCTGTACATTGCAGTTGGAAAAGCAAATGATGACAGCAGTTAAATGATTATTTCCTTGCCATTTATCCCATTCCATCCCATTTATCACTGATTTCATTAAATGAAGGTAATGAAGTGCAAATGAAAGCCTCGCCTAGTGTCCAGTCACTGGTCCCTGAGCACCTAACCAACTTACAGATGAAGCCGATGGGCCCTTGGGCGGTGATCTTTGCACAGAACGTGCCGGGCGTGTTCGCCTCCTCGCTGTTGCACTCAACCCCAACATGCTTTGTGTCATCAAAGCTGGAGTATGCACCACAGTTGTCCTCATATTCACCATCCTCACTGGTGGCACACTGATAGCACCGGATGGCTGCACCTGCAGAGGGATGTGGATGTTGGTCACAAAATTCTGGTCTAGAACGCTCTAATCTATATTCGTTCACATTATGATTCAGGCCAGTATTTTGGTCTAATGACTGTTCCTTAAATTATGAATTTTAATATGCATAGAGCATTTCAATTTGTATAGTAATGAATTGATTAAAGCGGACAAAAACTAAGGTCAAATAGGTAGGTACCTAGCTAACAATAAATGAACCCATTTATTCACGTAGGACCTAACGATCACAAAGCAAAGTAAGTAACTTACATGAATGAAGACAGAAGATCACAAAAATAAATGCAATATGGGTATTCATCATGGCGTGATAAAAAAATAGGAAATAAATAATACTGCACACGCCCAATGCGCACAAATGAATCACTCAAATGTATTTTGCTTACATGCGCCAAACATTGCGCACCTGTTACGAGCTTCCAAGGCTATGACCACTAAATCAAAATTTGGAAGGATTTTTGAGGTAATTACGCTTGTGTTGTGGACTCGTTCACAAAACTTACTGAAGTTGAACTTGTCTATGATGAGATAATCGTTATAATCGATTATTTGTTTGTTTTTCTCTTGGTTACTGTAACTTTGATCATTTAAATTTGTTTCGACATACCACCAAACATCGAAAGTAGACTAATGGGTGGGCATTTGATGAGGCATGCATCCAGCCCACACACCGAAGATCTATTGAAATTTGTAGTTAACAGCACCCTCCCAGATCGTTTCAATTCCTCACTTGCCTATTTTTCTATCGCCTCTGGAGATGCCCGGTAAGCTGGATTTCACCACCTTCGGTTCAGAGAACGTTTGGTTTATAGGCGTGTAGTGTGGGAAGAGGTTCGAGGTTGGAGGAGCGAAGCGGTAATCCTTATGGAGTTCAGTGCGGTAATCACAACGACTCTTGATCACAGACACATGCTCTATATTTGCATCACTTGACAGTTTCCAGAAACGATACGCCGTATCAAAAGCAACGTCATCTTGATTCGACTAACGTTCTCTCACATGTATAATGTTCAAGCAGCCCAGTCCGACAATCGAATCAACGGCTATCACACAGCACAATGCCATCCACACTTATTCACTTCGACACCTATTCAAATGTACTTGAACACTACATCCTCTCGAGAGTCTGTAGTTTGCAGCTCTAATTTGACGGGACACTGAAGCCAGTTGGTCAGCATCTCTTCGGTGTAGCCGATCAGAAAGTACATCTTTCTCGGCAAGATGTTTCGGACCACGATTCCGCTGATCCGAATCATGTTCAGCTGACGTTTGATGATCACCTGGTGCAGAAGAGCATGTAAATTGTGAGATGCGATGACATGAAGGACGGTCGTATCGTATTCAACACGGTCGTTTGGCTGTCGCTAAGGGGCGACGCGGAATTGCATCACACGATACGACTGATCGATGGCAACACCTTTATAATACTTATTGTGCCGATAATGACATTATATGTATACCTGATACAAACCAGCCTTTAGAACAATCATACGATGAACAATCGTAGTTTTCGTCTCAGCCCTCCGTACTTACGATCTCTACTTTCCGCGTCTACCGCTCGGATATTACGATTATCACCACAACGATTAGCCAGAATATTATCTTTTGCCATTCCTCCCACCACACACTTTCTTACACTTCCTTCTCACCTCGGAGAGAAACATGTTGTGCCATGTTCCCGATATGAACTTGCGGATGAACATGTCCTCCATGGCGCTCTCGGAGGGACGCACGCCATCCTTGAGGTTCGCTGCGGACGGAAAAGGAAACGATTTGGGTTTAGAGCTGCCAGGCTAGCTTCATCAATTATCTGTCCTAAGCTTTATAATGTTTCCTGGTGACTTTAGCTGCAGAGTGCAGGGGACCTATATGTCCCTGAGAAGGCTGGGCAGAAGTGATAAATCATAAATGTGCTGGGAAAATCACTTCAGCTTGTTACGCACAAAATAGAAAGCAATCAACTTATCAACTAAAGTATATGTGATTATGTGACACAAACTTGTGGGTCATCCATCATCACTAAGGAATCAACAATCAACACAGAAAAACAGCAAAACATGTAACACTTACATGTATTGAATGAATTGAAGCCTTTCCTGACAAACAGGTAGTGTGGTGGGTTAGCCTGCTCGTATGTCAGTGGCTTGTTCTTGCTGCGGGTGACCTTGTAGCGACCTGAGCTGACCTTGCTACAGGCAGCTGTCAGGTGGATGGGGCGACAGGGTGGCTCTGGTGGAGCAATCCGCAATACCTGAAGCAAGTGGGAATGCATTAAGCAAATCAGTTAACTAGTTCCTATCATTGTTAAGTGGACATAACTTGCATAGCATAGGTAGGTACATACCAACTAATTACAGGTTTCAGATACAACACATTTTTCTTTGAAAGCAACAAAATAGGATCTAGGTAATTACGTACATTTAAATATCAACCTTTACATTCGCATACCAACTGGCAATTCTGTATGCTTGCAACAAATCGTGAGAACTGTTATAGACTACATTACTTTGACATACTTTGACAAGTTTCATGTCTTTGTAACTTATGAGTAAAAATCATTTGAAAATTTACCTTCAGAAGTCTTGAAACTTTCCCATAAGACATTGTAACAGTACTTTCAATAAAGGCTAAAAAAACAATGAATCAATAGTTATCACTCAGTTCCAGACCTAAGCAAGGTTGGAATCAAGTGGGAATCAAACAACAGGCAAATCCAAATTAGCTGAAGGGGTCCAGCACTCGTCCTGCTTGTGCTGGAATACCTATGGGAGCTAGGAATTCGCTCAGACCAATAGCAAAAGGTTTGGTATAAAATCAACCATTAAGCATGGTTAGATCAGTTACAATCGTTACAATCACGTTTTTACAAACAAATGATATATCTAGTTTTTGTGTTTGGCTTTAGCCCATTTTAGCCTCAAGCGCCTCAAGGACCTCTACTCAAGCCTCTACTTCCATGCATTCTATCGATTTCGGTAGACCGAGAACCGACATTTGACAATCGACGCACACATTTATCGTCAATAGATTTTGCCTGCATTTAGTGCAAAACATGACCAAAAAAGAAATAAAATGATATTCGTGTAAATTTGGTCAGAAATTTTGGCATTCTTAGGCCACAATTGTTCGAAAGTCGAGTTGCCCCGTGATCGAAGGAATCGATAGAAATACAAACACCGTTTTGAGCAGTATGAATTTTCAGAATTTTAATTATTATTTATAAACAATAAAATTTTGCTCAATATTTGGATAAATTTATTGCAACAAGTTTAGGAAAAAATATTCGATATCAGTTACATTTTTGCGATTTTAAATCGATAGAACTTTATCAGCTGTTTGTCATAAGACACCCAAAATATTGCTGCCGCATCAACGACGAATTCGACGCGATTGTTGTGCCACCACAACACGGACAACACGTGCGTTTTGAGGGTGCATTGTTTTTTGGTGGCTGCAGGGTCGAGTTTAGCGCATTTTATGTGATATATCACATTCTCGCGAGACACGTGGCTGGAGGAAGACGTTTCTGGCGATCCGGGGCGATAGCGAAGGCGGTGTTTTTCCACTTAGATTCTTTTTGATTTGTATCTTTCCATTGATAATTTCAATTATATACTGAAAAGGTTTTTCTTTCTTACGCTTTCGGAAGGTAAGGTTGAGGTGTGTGGATGGCATAGGACTTAAGATGGGGCCTAATAGGGCCAGTAAGAGGGTAAGGGCCGATGATCTGACTGATAGTTTCTGGGGGGAGGAGGAGTCTCAGTCTGGATCCTACCTCTCAGTGAAGCTCCTAGCAGGTAGATCTCCTAGAGAAAAGGGATGGCCATGGATACAACAATGCATCAGAGGGATTCTTGGGGGCACGGAGAAAGTTGAAAAGGCTAGCTTCATGAGTGATGGACGGTTGCTGGTGAGGACTAAGACTAGCACCCAGACTGAGAAACTTCTCAAAGCTCGGATGTTCGGAGACATGGAATGTGTTGTAGAACGAGAGGAGAGACTAAACCAGAGTCGGGGAACTATCCATGCAGTAGACCTGATTGATCTGTCTGAGGAAGAGATTGTTGGATGGCTGACGGAATTCGGGGTGGTGGCCGCTAGGCGATTTACCAGGAGAACCGGTAGCCGTATCGAAAGAACCCCAACTATCCTTCTTACATTCAACAGACCCACGTGCCCCACAAAACTTGACTTTGATTATGTGACCTACAACGTGAGGCAGCATATCCCGAACCCATTGATGTGTCTACAGTGTGGGAGATTTGGCCACATTCAGGCCAGATGTCAATCAGAGGTGAAATGCCTCACATGCGGGGACAAAAAACATGACGGCACATGTGAGCAGAAATGTCTCCACTGCGGGGATACTGGGCATGATGGGCTCTCTCGGCAATGTGAAGTGTGGAAGAAGGAGAAGCGTGTATGTGAAATCAAGGTTAAAAAAGATGTGTCCTATGCACACGCCCGCCGTATCATCGCGGCTGAAACCAGCTCCCCTACCTTACGATCCTATGCTTCGGTAGTAAGGGGTAGTAGTGATCCGCCATCCGACCCAACATTTAAGACTGAACTCCGTGTGATTGGGGAGAAACTCGACAAAATGATCACTCTTCTGGACAGGGTCCTTAAGCTTCAAGGGACTGAGGCTGAGGCAAATCAAACACCAACAAAAGTGCAAACGGGGACAGGAGAGCAGGAAGGTGCTGAGGACACTCAGACCCAGTCACAGCCTGACATGTTCATGGACCCCATGGAATCCCAATTGGTGGCAGAGGGCTCACAGGAGCCCTCACCACCCTCAGACACTGAGAGGAGCACTCCACCAACAAACAAAGACACTCTGGCTGGTTCCTCTCAGCGAGTGATCCGACAGAGCTGGACACCGCAGGTGACGCAGAACACAGATGAGGTCGAGGAGAGGAGTGAAAGAACCCAAAAAGCCCATCCTGACTCTGAGCAGTCATCAATGACAGAGACATCAGATATCCCTGCTGATGGGGTATCACCATCCCCTGAGCTTGTCAAAAAACGTCAAGGAGGGAGACCTGGAAGGGACAGGCGAATGCCCAGCCTGACCAGGAAACCCAAACCCTAACGTAACTTTTAGCACTAAAACACAAAACTCTTTTTTTCTTTTTCTTTTTAAACGTAGAATCAAGACGTCTTTATTTCTACTTATATTTCGGTTTGTTAACTTACATGTGCTGATCAAACAACCACACAAGCTGAGGTGGTTGATGATCAGCTATCTTGTTTCCTATGGAAAATGGTACAATATCAGCATCATGACTGATACAAACCAGATAGTAGCAGCCAGCCCAATTATTCCCAAGGAGTGGGAACTTATGAGTGGTGAATTGTGTTCTGGCTCGACTAAGAAACTCTGACAAGGGTCCTACAATGGAATGCCAGAGGACTGATCGGAAAGTGGGCAGAAGCCAAACAAATGTTCTTGGACGGTAATTACCAGGTGATCTGTATTCAGGAATCTCACTTTATGGCCAATGACAGATATTGTTTTGACTTACCACACTATTCTTTATACAACGCATACTCACCTCAAGGTGACAGGAGAGGAGGTGTATCGATATATGTATCAAATCGCCTGCCGCACATGGTATTACCTATACAGAGCAATTTACAGGTGGTAGCCTGCTCTGTAAGGCTACAGAGGGAAAGAATTACATTCTGTTCATTGTACTTGCCCCCAACTGACAACTTCTCATTTCAGGATATATCCCTATTAATCCAGCAACTCCCTAAACCATTTGTAATATGTACAGATGCAAACAGCAAACATTTCATGTGGGGAGCTGCGCAATGTGACAGACGGGGTTGCATCTGGATGGATGTTGTCAACCATCATAACCTACATGTTTTGAATGATGGACAGCCAACTAGACTGGATGAATCCACAGGAGATACGTCCCACATCGATTTGACAGTGGTATCAAACGATATCTCTCACATACTTGAATGGGACACTGAAAAAGACCTATATGCCAGTGACCACTACCCCATACGTATAGATGTCGGTAATCCTACTGTCTACACGAACTTGCCCCCTGTTTTTTATGGATGGAACACGAGGAAAGCTAACTGGACGGAATTTGAAATGAAATGTGATTTCAAATTCAATCCTAACCTTGGACTGGAGAACTGTGATGAAATAACTCAAACTATTATTGACACTGCCCAGAAGTTTATACCCACCCGAAATGGTAACACCAAATACTCGTGTCCGTGGTGGACGGATGACTGCAGGAACGCAATTCTGACTAGAAGGAGAGCTCATAACAGAATGAGGAGAGACCCTCATTCCCAATTCCTACGAATTGAGTATAGGAAAGCGAAGGCTAAGACACGACGGACTATTAGAGATGCACAGATCCGCTCATGGCAGGAGCTGCTATCAGTGTTTAACCACAGAACCCCGATGGGGAAACTGTGGGATATAATCCGTAAGTTCTCGCAGAAGCATCGATACATGAGACCTCTCCCAGTTATTATGCATAATAACGAGATTATTGACGACCCTACTGAGGTGGCAAATCACTTCGGGAGGTATTTCTCGAATATGAGCTCGAGATCGAACTACCCCCAAGCCTTTCTTGACTGGGAACGTGAATTAGCAGAAAACTTACCTGAATTTGGGGATGAGAACTACGAGGATTACAACAAAGAATTTACAATGAGAGAACTTACTGACGCTATTAAACGATCTGGCTCTACATCCATCGGGCCGGACAAGGTTCACTATGATTTCTTCCGACATATGCATGAGACACAGCTGATTGAACTGCTTCGTTTTTATAATTATGTATGGGTGAATGACGTGTTCCCCGACGCATGGAGACATTCTTACATCATACCCATCCTTAAGCCAGGGAAAGACCGCAACCAAATGCAATCGTACAGGCCTATCCAACTTACCTCTTGTATGTGCAAATTACTAGAGAGGATGATTGGTAAGAGACTGTCATGGTACCTTGAGAAATATGACCTTATATCGACATATCAATGTGCGTTCCGATCAGGAAAGTCTACTGGGGACCACCTAGTGAGACTCGATTCGCACATACGGGAAGGATTCCTTCACCACTGTTCCACCCTCGGTGTGTTCCTAGACATTAAGTCAGCATATAACATGGTCTCCCCAACGGTTTTGTTGAATAGAATGTATGATATCGGCTTCCGGGGCCATATCATGCATTTCATTCGAGGCTACTTGCAAAATAGGACATTCCAAGTGAGGTGCGGAGAGGTATCAGATACGTTTGAGCAGGAATATGGCGTTGTCCAAGGAGGGGTGATCTCTCCATTGCTTTTTAATATTGTGATTGACTCTTTGATTGACGCAATACCAAGAGAGGTCTCTGCTGCTATATACGCAGACGATTGCACTATCTGGGCGCAGGGAAAAGATATCCCACTTATATTTCAGAAAATCCAAAACGCTTTAACCAGAATAGGACAGTGGTCAGAGCGGAACGGTTTTGTATTTTCCCCCATGAAGACTAACGCCGTTTTGTTTAGAAGAGGTTTAAAACGAGTGAACCAGAACCAACTACCTACTCTCAAACTCAACGGTCACCCTATTTGTATTGTGGACCAGGTCCGTTATCTAGGCGTCTTACTTGATTCGAAACTGAGCTTAAATGGGCACATAGAATATGTTAAAGGAAGAGCTCAGAAACGAATGTCGATACTGAAAAGCATTGCCGGAAAAAGCTACGGTGCCGACAGAACTGTGTTATTACGCATGTATAAATCCCTGATCCGACCAATACTCGACTATTCATCTTTTATTTTGGATGGGCCAGGGACTCGGCTTGTGGAGTCCCTTGAGACTATTCAGAACACGGCACTCCGCATTGCCACTGGTGCCTTGCGGACTTCCCCTGTAAGAGCATTACAAGTGGACACGAAC